AGACACCACAACCACCACAACCGCCGTATCTTGACTGGAGTCTCGCCGTCTTCCTTCCACCCTGGATCAGCTTCTGTCCTCCAGGACTGTGTGGGAAAGAACTCTTCCTTCCACCCTGTATGAACCTCCAGCATCCAGGACTGTGTGGTGAAGACCCCTCCTCCAAGGAGAGCGTGTCAGGAACAGCTCTTAAAAGAGCTAAGTGACTCAAGCTCAAGGGAGCATGCAGAGCATAGCAATCCCCAGTGTGATTATAACAGCTCCCTCCAATAACAAGACAAGGCTACGTTTAGAGGGATCAAGAAGAACTGTCAAAACCTTTATTCCTTTGGGACCAGCCAATACAGTCACCACAATAACATTGTTGTGAAACCTCAATAAAATCACAAACAGTCAAACCATATCAAGAAACACACAGTGACTTATCACAACACAATGGCACATTTTTAAAGGGGTGGGGGGAGACAATATTTAACAGTAAATATCTCACCTGCCTGCAGAATTAGCAATATGCAAATCTACCCGAATATGCAAATGAACCAGTCTTGCAATTCAGGTAGTGCATATTGCTGTTGCTACCAACAGAGGGCACTAGACCAGCTCCATAGCCAAACCCACCTAGTTGGTAGCAAACCTCAGCAATACAAGAGAGCAGGCAATACATTACACAGTACACACACACACACTATAAACAATTACATTACACACATCCTGCACCTATAATGGGTACAGGGTGACTAAAACATAGGATAAATAAAGCAGCCTACATAAATAGTCTGTCTGAAGGTAGACTAGGGGCTTTAAAGCCAGATAGATGAAAGAGTCATAGTCACAGGGGAGGAGGCTGGCAAGTAGGCCTCTCCAGGACCAAGTGGCGAAGGGCACTTCGTCACAGGCCCCAACCCCGTAAGAAAACCCAGGCAATGGCTTTTCTGGGAACGGCCGGATATTACCATAGGTTTGTCCCTGATAACAGCACGATAGCTATGCCCCTTACTGACCTCACCAAAAACTTTAAAACCCAGACAGATCATATGGTCCTCAGAATGTGAGGAATCTTTCCAGAGGCTGAAAACTGCATTAAGGGAGGCACCTGACCACACTAAAAGGTTTCGCATTTATACAGATGCCTCAATGTATTAAGCCAAGTGGGGGAAGATGGCACGGAACACCCAGTGGCTTACCTGAGCAGAAAATTGTGAGTTATGCCACCGTGGAAAAGGAGTGTTTAGCAC